GTGGATTGATTCAGTGACTGGGATAATTGGGATGGGAGTGTCAGAGACAGTGTGATTGGCACAGGACAGAGCGGAGTTTAGGGCTGTTGTATATAGGGTCTCTATGAATCGCAGGCGACTCGACGGCACATAACAACAACAACAGCAACAACAACAACAACAACATATCTTTTTTCCTTTTTTTTCAGTTTTTGTGCGTGTACCATCAAATTGGATCTGACTGGTACAGGAGGAGATTGCCCCTCCTTCTCCAGCAAAGCATCTGGTGGATTCAAACCACATACTTCTAGGATTACAGTGCAGCTTCTTGCCACTAGGCTCCCAGAGCTCGCTAAGTCTGTAAATCTTAACAGGAGTAGACAACTCATCTTTGTCCTGCAGAACAGCTGGTGGATTCAAACTGCCAGATTTTCAGTTAGCAGCCCTGTACATAATCCATTATTCTACCACCACCACCACCACCACACTAAGGCTCCTTTAAGAGAAGTGACTCAAACTCATTGCCTTCAAATTAGAATTTATTGCTAGCTGCCCCCGCATTGGATCTCTGAGGCTCTAAAGCACACGGACGCTCATTTTCTCGCCACTGGTGGATTCGAATCAATACAGAGGCATGGCCTTCGGGGTAGCAGCTCTGCTCCCTGTGTACTGTCCACCAGAACTCCCGTAACAGTGGTGGAGTCCTGCGAAATCGGGAAGGGAACAGTGAAGCAATGTGTGATGGCTGAGAATGATGGTGATTCTGGGGTTAGACAGCCATTGGTTTACATTTCATACTCATTTCACCTACGGGCAGTAGGTGGATCTTGGATAAATGATGTTACTTCTCTGAGCCTCAGTTTCTTCATCCACCAAATGGAGATGGTAACATTTGTCTGTTCTAAAGAATTGATGAGGAAATTAAACAACAGTGTTTATCAAACATGGGGCACGGTGCTTTTGTTCTCAAAACTGTCAAATGAACGCTGTGGTGGAACAGGAGTTTCAGGCCAGAGATCCTTGAATGGAGGTGACACAGTGAAAAACAGTGTTTTCCTTGAATGGAGGTGACACAGTGAAAAACAGTGTTTTGTTTTTTTTTGTTGTTGTTGTTGTTTTTAAATTTTTTTAAATTATTCTTTCTTTTTTTATTTTTTTATTATTTGTGTGTGTGCGTGTGTACCGTCAAATCAGATCTGACTGGTACAGGAGGAGATTGCCCCTCCTT